GCGCCGAAATAGAGATCGGGGTGAACGTGGGGGGCGTGCGGCAGGTGCTCTACGGAGACCTCCTCAGCCAGTACCCCGAGACCCGGCTGGCCGAGCTCATCAATTGCTTGGCCGGGGGCTACGACACCATCTTCTCCCTGTGTGACGACTACGACCCCGGCAAGCGCGAGTTCTACTTCGACAGGGACCCGGACGCGTTCAAGTGTGTCATCGAGGTGTACTACTTCGGGGAGGTCCACATGAAGAAGGGCATCTGCCCCATCTGCTTCAAGAACGAGATGGACTTCTGGAAGGTGGACCTCAAGTTCCTGGACGACTGCTGCAAGAGCCACCTGAGCGAGAAGCGCGAGGAGCTGGAGGAGATCGCGCGCCGCGTGCAGCTCATCCTGGACGACCTGGGCGTGGACGCGGCCGAGGGCCGCTGGCGCCGCTGCCAGAAGTGCGTGTGGAAGTTCCTGGAGAAGCCCGAGTCGTCGTGCCCGGCGCGGGTGGTGGCCGTGCTGTCCTTCCTGCTCATCCTGGTCTCGTCGGTTGTCATGTGCGTGGGCACCATCCCTGAGCTGCAGGTGCTGGACGCCGAGGGCAACCGCGTGGAGCACCCGACGCTGGAGAACGTGGAGACGGCGTGCATCGGCTGGTTCACGCTCGAGTACCTGCTGCGCCTCTTCGCGTCGCCCAACAAGCTGCACTTCGCCCTGTCCTTCATGAACATCGTGGACGTGCTGGCCATCCTCCCCTTCTACGTGAGCCTCACGCTCACACACCTGGGCGCGCGCATGATGGAGCTGACCAACGTGCAGCAGGCCGTGCAGGCCCTGCGGATCATGCGCATCGCGCGCATCTTCAAGCTGGCGCGCCACTCCTCGGGCTTGCAGACTCTCACCTACGCGCTCAAGCGCAGCTTCAAGGAGCTGGGGCTGCTGCTCATGTACCTGGCGGTCGGCATCTTCGTCTTCTCTGCCCTGGGCTACACCATGGAGCAGAGCCACCCGGAGACCCTCTTTAAGAGCATCCCCCAGTCTTTCTGGTGGGCCATCATCACCATGACCACCGTGGGCTACGGGGACATCTACCCCAAGACCACGCTGGGCAAGCTCAACGCGGCCATCAGCTTCCTGTGTGGAGTGATCGCCATTGCCCTGCCCATCCACCCCATCATCAACAACTTCGTCAGGTACTACAACAAGCAGCGCGTCCTGGAGACTGCCGCCAAGCACGAGCTGGAGCTGATGGAGCTCAACTCCAGCGGCGTGGGCGAGGGCAAGGCCGGAGGCTCCCGCGCAGACCTGGACACCGTGCCTCCGGACCCTGCGGGGATGGAGGGGCCGAGCTGGAGCAGCCGGCTGAAGCTCTCCCACAGCGACACCTTCATCCCCCTCCTGACCGAGGAGAAGCACCACAGGACCCGGCTCCAGAGCTGCAAGTGAGAGGCGAGCTCCTGGGCAGAGAGGGACAGGCTGGCGGCAGGGTGACAGGTGTGGCAGGCATGTCAGCAGCTGCCCAGCGTGCCCCCAGCCCTCTCCTGAACAGATCCCGAGGGCACCTGTTCTCCTCAGAGGATGCTGGGTAAGACTTCTTTGAGTGACTGCAGGTTGGGAGTTGGGAAGGGTGGGATGTGCAGGAGCCATAGGGCATTGTAGGGCCAGCAGAGGCCGGGGGCCAGCGGAGGCGGAGGCCAGCAGAGGCCGGCTGTGGCGGGAGCTCATGCCTGGGTCTGTATCTCCTTCAATAAAGCCTCCTGCTCTGCACCTGGTGTTGTAGGTTCTGTCACAGGCTGGGTGGGGCCGAGAGGGGCACTCAGGCGTG